TCCCCTCCTACCTGGTCTCCCTGCCCCCAGCTTCTCCTGGGTTGTCTCCATGGGGCAGCCCCTTGCTTTCCCCATTTTTTCTTCTTCTGTGTCAAAAGGGGTTCTACACCCTTGATATCACTGGCTGAAAAGGCTGCTGATAGGTGTGGCCTGAGCCAGGGCCCATGCAGGGGTGGGCCTTACCCAGAACACACCCTGATGGGGCACATGGGTGGACGTTCGGGGGCGGTGCCAGGGAGAAAACAGCAGCTCTGGCATGCTAGAGGGCAGCCACCAAAATGAGGGGCTCATGGAAGGGTGGGGAGTGGGCTTCTATGCCCGCCTGGTGCGGGAGGAGCCCGCAGCCCGAGCCCAGGCTCCGCTTCCCCGTTTGCAGCTTTGGAGCCATGGTGTACTCACCGCGCACAGGCATCCTCCTCAACAATGAACTCCTGGACCTGTGCTGGAGGCGCCAGCCTGGCTCCCGTGTAACCCCTCCACCTGGTGAGCGCGGGGCCCACTGGGGAGAGGAAGGGAGGGGGGCAGGGTGGGTGCTGCACGGTGGCCCTTGGAGCAGCCACCCAACTCTCCCAGCCACAGTTTGTGAGGTGGCGAATGGAGACAGAGGTGGAGCAGGTCGTCCTGCAGTTGCTGGCTCGGAAGCCAGGCTTCAGGTGACACCCATCTGGTCTCCAGTTCCAGGAGAGCGGCCCCCATCATCCATGGTCCCCTCCATCTTGATCAACAGAGCCCAGGGGTCAAAGCTGGTGATTGGTGGGGCTGGTGGGGAGCTCATCGTCTCTGCTGTGGTCCAGGTGAGTCTGGAGGCTCTTGGCTCAAATGTCCCCTCTCCGGGCAACACAATTGTCCTGCTCTCCTGGGGGCATGAAGGGGTTGGTGGGGGGGCTGGTGCCCCCTCCCTCCCTGCATTCTCCTTTCCTCCCCCAGGTCATCATGAACAAACTGTGGCTTGGCTTTGACCTGGGAGCAGCCATTGCAGCCCCCATCTTACACGTGAACGACAAGGGTCAGGTGGAATATGAGCCCAGTTTCCCCCAGGTGAGGCTGCTATCTGAGCCACCTCTAGGTGGGGACGCCTGAGTGCATGCTGCTCAAAGCCCCGAGTGTCCTGTGCTGGGCACACTCCAGCTCTGGGCGCCATCAGGAGTTGAGAAGCTCAAGACCAGCCTCATGGCCTCCAAGGCAGAGAGCAGGGTGCTGTGCATGCTTCCTTCAGGCCGAGCACCTCAGCACTTTGGTCCCTGTTCTGTCTGCCCATTTCCCTCCAGAAGCTGATTTTCCCGGCTCTGGCCTCTCAGACACTCCCTCATGACGCTCTGTTTCCTCATGTGATTTGTAGCTCTTCCGTGCAAGCTTATTTACAAAAGCATGTGTTATCCCCATGAGAGTCTGCAGAGGGATTAAGGCATTGGGGACTGCGCTGGTGCTGGCTCTTACTAACATTTCTTGGGTCCCCTATGCAAGTAGGTCCCGGAACTGAATTCCACCCCACCTCCACCCCGCCCCAGCAGATGGTCAGCTTTCTCGAATCCTCTCTGGGCTGGCAGATGCCCTTTGCTACGACCTAATTCAAAACACTGGCAGCTTTTCAAGGCTCCAAGCTTCATGTTCAGGGTCAGTTCAACCAGCTGGGGCTCGAGATCCTCAAAGCTGCCCTAGCCAGTTTGGCTCAGCGGTTAGAGTGCCAGCCCACGGACTGAAGGCTCCCTCCCACGTTAGATTCCGGCCAAGGGCATGTACCTAAGTTGCAGGTTTGATTCCCAGCCCCGGTCAGTACTCATGCAGGAGGCAACCAATTGATGTATCTCTCTCACACTGACATTTCTCTCTCTCTCCCTTCCACTCTCTCTGAAAAGTAATGAGAAAAATATCCTTGGGTGAAGATAAAAAAAAAAAAAAGATCCTTAAAGCTGTCTTTACTGTTATGAGCCTCTCATGACCTTAGATTTCTCTAATAACCAGTGAGAGGCCTTGAGCCCAAGACGGTGTGTCATCCCGGAGAACCTTGGTCTGTGGATCTGGTGACTAAAGACATCAGCCCATCAGGCTCAAACTCTCAGAGTCTGAGCCTTCCCTTCCTGTTTAGGGTTCTCTCCATGGAATTACATCAAGTGCTGCCTCAGGGCTCATCCTCTTAGGCCTTTCTCCTTGACCTTAACTGAATGTCCCTACTCTGTGAACACAATTCTCTGAGGACTTTGGACTCTGAGGATTCAGAGATGACAGCTTGGAATCCAGCAACCCAAGATCCTCAGCTCCGTCAAAGTGTTAAGAGTGTTGGTCTTGCAGGTCTAGGGCCTTCCATGGAGAAATTCTTAGATTCTGGGTGGAGACCATGAGTCTCCAAGGGCTTCACACAAAGTCCCAGGGACTGAGGCCAAGAGAGTTTGTGTTCCTCAGGGCCTTGGAGTTTGGCCAGTAGGTCATAAGGAACAGAGTTTCTGAGGACTGTAGGCCCTGCTGTGGCCTTGGCCGTGAGGATCTTGACCTTCAAATCTAAGGACATTGGAAAATTAATGTGTGAGGCAGAGGAACTGTGAAGCACTCTGGAGACCTCACCCTTCCAATGGCTCAGGGTCACATGGCCTAACCAGGTGACCTCAGATCGGAGGCCCTGATCCTGGGGACTGTAGAGCACAAGGGTCTTTGTACTTAGAGGTCTGGAATCTAGGGTCCTGGTCAGCTAAGGTCCTTGGACACTTGGTCTAAAATGATAACTGGAAATGTGGGGCTCGAGTAGCACAGATTCCTACACTCAGTATTTGCTGCACCCCTTCACAGACCAGCAAATATTTGGGGACCATAACCTTGAAGCAAGGTACTCAGTGTCTTAGAAACCAGCATCTGGGTCCCTGATGCCCTCAAATTCCACAGACTCAACATCTCAGGCCTGAGCATTTCAGGCCCAGTGCTCCAAGCAACTTTACTCTCGGGGTCAATGTTCTTGGACTTGTGGGCAAACTGTAGAGCAAACCATGTCTGAAGCTTTGTGTTTGAGGCCCCTGGTGTCCAGATTCAGGACAGAAATGAGCTTGCATCTTGAGTGCCTTCTGACCTGGGTGATGTCCTCCCCACATGTTTCTTTAGGACCTTTTGGGTGGGAAGTGTAGACTCCATACCCTGCAGAGGAGGCTCTGCCCAGTGCCTCCTGCCCCCGCCCCCCTCAGTTGAGGATCCGAGGTTCCTGCCTGGGCCTTGCCCCTACGGAGGCAGATCTAAGCTGCCCTCACCTCTGAGCCGGCCTTCTCTCTTCAGGAGGTGCAGAAGGGCCTTGCGCACCGGGGCCAGAACCAGACGAGCAGGCCCTTTTTCCTGAACGTGGTGCAGGCTGTGTTCCAGGACGGAGCCTGTGTGTATGCCGCAGCCGACCAGAGGAAGCATGGGGAGGCCGCAGGCTACTGAGGAGGCTGCTCCTGCGAGCTGGGAGCAGACCCAACGTCAGTGTGTGGCCCAGGCTGGCCATGGCTGTGACTGTGTTCCAGCAGGATCTGGACCCCTTGGCTGGGGAGTCAGCCCGGGGTTGCAAGAAGCGGGGACAGCATGGCAGATGGGGGCTGTGCCCACCCTCTGAGCTTCTGATGGCTCTGGCCCTTCTAGCCTTCTCCAGGCCTCTCACCCAGGACTGTGGCCCATCCTCTCCCTCTGACCCCACTCCCCATCAGTATATCCTCTGGTTTAAGATTAAAGAGGAGGCTGACCACAGTCTCATTCGGGATTGAGGTGGGGGGGACCCCAGAAAGCATACACACTGGTTCCTATAGTTCTTTGCAAGTGCACCATTACAGAAGTGGGGAAACCGAGGCCCAGACGCAGTTGGGCCCATCCAGGCCACCCCTGGACTCTTGTTGGAGCTCTGAAATGTGGCTTCTTGGGGCCACTTGTTGTGGGAAAGGCAGAGGTATGGCCTCAGGGCCCTTGGCCAAGGCTTGTCTCTGGATCCTGTCTTCTGTGCCAGGAGAATGTTGGATGTGATAAGACCTAAGGCCCCAGCCCAGCCCCTGCCCCAACAGCCCATGTTCTCACCCTTGGCACTCCTGACATTTGGGGCAACGTGTTCTTTGTTGTGGGGGTTGTCCCCACAGAGTAGGGTGTTGGGCAGCACCCCTGGCCTCTACCCGCTGGATGCAGCCCCTCCCCCCAACAACCAGTCACCAAATCACCCCTGATTGAGAACCGCTGCTTTGGACTGATGATCCCCAAGCACCATGAATAGCTTTGCCAGCTGCTGGGTGGGCCATCCTTGCTGGGGGGCCTTGCTGGACTGACCTGGGGGGTCCTGCCCCTCACTGGTTCCTGAGAGCATCGGGTTTCCCTTTTCACCCCAGAGGTGTGCCTCCCCCGGCAGGGCCCGGGAGCAGCTTCACCACTGAGCCACTGCCTCCCACTCCGCCCTGGAGCTGGGCCAAGCCGAATGAGTTCCTTCTGACCTGGGTGATGTATTAGTTTTCTGTGGCTGCTGAGACAAAAATACCACAAACTGAGTGCCTCAGAACAACAGAAATCTATTTTGTCCCAGGCTGGGAGTCTGAATTCAGTATCACTGGGCAGAAATTGAGCTGTGGGCAGGGCCACGTTCCCCTCCAGGGATCAGGACATGGACATATTCGTGGGCTGTTATGTAGGTGCCCACACATGGGGAGAGGGGTCAGCTACATAACAAGCCCCTGATCTGGGCTTGACTAGGAGGGTAGAGGGGGTGCTCTGACAGACTCCAGGAGGAAGGTCTGGGGACCACGGTCACACTGTGAGATGCACTCAGGCAGCCTCAAGGCCACCAGCCCCTCCCAGGGTTGGGAGTAGACTTTCTGAAAGGGCAGGTCTGGTTCAGGGGCCAGGGGTACAGAAAAGGGGGGTTTAGACAGAAGCGGAACAGAGGGGCTTCAGACCTGGGGGTATCCAGAGGCTGGCCCCTAACATCAGGACCCTCCATGGGGTGGCCTCACCCTAGGCAGGCTCCCTGGCCACCATCCCCATGGCTCTAGCATATCCGCTGAACTTCACAGTCAGCAGGGGTGACAGAACTTCTACCCTGAGCCCCAGTCCTTTTGGTTTAATAGAAGTTCCAGGCCCAGCTCTCATGGGCTCAGTGAGTCCCTCCCTGAGCCGTCTGTGTGGGGAGGGCTGGTTCGCTTAGGTCAGTGGGACCAACCCTAAGAGCTGTCTCAAACCCCGTGGGGAGTTTGAGGAGCCTCCGCCGCCCTTTGGCAGGAGCCTGCTTCTGTGCTCCTGGGCCAGACCTGTGCCCTGCCGGGGTCCAGGGACGCTGCCCTGTGCCAGTGAGGCCTGAACCCTGCAGTGCCTTCCAGCATCATTCATAGAGCATGATACTAAGTCCCTGAACGCTGGTGTCCCCCTCCTGACTCACTCTCGGCCATCCCTGGGGGTGTCACCCACCTGGAGGCTAAGTCATCACTTGTGGGCTGATGGGTACCCCAACCAAGGCTCTGGCTTGGGTTTCTGGACATACCCACCCTCCCACCTTCGGAACACATGGGGTCCACAGGTACCTCAAACTCAACACACCAAAGCAGGAGGCCAGTTCTAAGGCAGCAGGGAGCCCTCCGGTGTCTGCCTGTCCCCCTTCCTGCGTTACTCTGTGCTGTCCCTCCATCTGCATAGCCTGGCCCTTGCTCCGTGGCTGCCATCTTGATCCACTCCCCACTCATGGTGATGGTGAGCCTCGGAAAAGCACCTGATCCCGCCACAAGGCAGCATGGAGCCCTCCTTGAGGTCCCTGGAGGAAGCCCACTTCTCTCCCTCCCTGCTCATCCTGCCCTGGGGGACTTGCCCAGCCCTACCCACACCCTGCCTGGGCCACCATCAATGCATTCCCAGCCCAGCCAGGTCATCTTTAAACCCATTAACACGGAGGAAATCAAAACCAAGACTGTGTGGTATCTGCAAAATAACTTTGCCATCAGTATAGATCAGCCCCCTACAGAGTACAGCTAAAGCAGGGATCAGGAAAATTTCTTGCCTTAAATAGTTATTTTGTAGGCACCGAGAACAGCGCTGGGCGTTAGTCCGGTGGAGTCAGACCTGACTTAGGTTCAGCAACCTCGGTTCTTGGGTGCTGGCTAGGAAAGAATTCAGAGCCAAGACCCAAACTGTAAGAGAACATTTATTTGGTAAATCACAGAGGTAGAAAACGTAATTCTTAGAAGAAATGAACTTAGGCAACAAGTTACAGAGGCAAAGGAAAGGCCCTTGAAGCTTGAGAGTGAGGAAGCTAATGCTAATGCTAACATTGTGGTGGGGAGGGCGGGCAGGGCTTGTTCCCAGTAGGGAGAGCACCGGGTCCTCCATTCTAATGGTTTTAAGCATGGAGATCTTAGGGGAGGTCTCAGGGGAAGATTTTTTTTTTTTAATATGTCTTTATTGATTTCAGAGAGAGAAAGGGAAAGTAGGAGAGAGAGATAGAAACATCAATGATGAGTCATTGATTGGCTGCCTCCTGCACGCCCCCTACTGGTGATCGAGCCCACAACCTGGGCATGTGCCCTGACCGGGAATCAAACTGGGATCTCCTGGATCCTAGGTTGATGCTCAACCGCTGAGCCACACCGGCAGGGCTCAGGGGAAGATCTTAATAGAATGACTATTCATCAGTTTTCCAGATGTGTCCTTTTAAGGTTGTGGCTCCACTGATTGATTGGTTACCACCAGGGCAGTGGCCGTCATTCAATGCAGCTGGTCCTGAGGTCAGCTGTGACTGGTTTTGTTGCTTTTCTGGGCCTGGAGCTGAAATAGAACTGAGGCCTAGATGTTATCTCAAGGGAGGAAAGGCCAGGGGGCCCAAACCAGTGATATGCTAGGGGAGGAAAGGCCACCCTGGGGGCGAGGTCCCACCCTACAATTGTCCTTTGCTAGGCATCCAGGGCTTTCCATCCTGGTGACCTTCTGTACCTGGCCCAAGGTCCTTGCTCTGCTTATGTCTGTCTTTACATTAATAATAAGAATCAAAATAAATAAAGCAGCTCACTTAAGTTAGTAAAGGAGAAATCAGAACAATCAGAAAATCAAGAGGAAGGACTCAGTAAAAATTGAAGCAGAAATTGATAAATTGGAAATCAGAAATAACAGGTCTTTGAAAAAAATATATAATAAGCTATTAACCAGCCAATCAGTAAACATGAAGGAAGTGTGACTATACAAAAGACAAAATTAGAATGGCTAAATAAATTCAGAAACGTTGACAAAAGGAATTGCTACATGCTTCTTCATGCATGGCATTGTTGCCAGTGGTGTTGACGGCAAAAGCGCATCAGTTACTATAGGCGAAGTTGGACCTCATTCCTGAATTCAACGGAGAAAGAGTTCAGAGCCATAAACTCAAATTATAAGTGAAAGTTTGTTTAGAAAGTTACAGAGGTAGAAAGAGGCTAGCCAGCTGGGCCCTGTGGACTCAGGAAAGAAATTACAAAAGGAAAAATAGGGCCTCTGAAGTGATTTGAGTGGGTGTGCTCTGNGAGGGGGAGTAGAGGGGGAAACTTTTAAAATATTTAAGTACTTAAATATTTAATATCAAAGACCAAATGTCCATTAGAAAGATGGACAGAGATACTACTCGTTAGACCACAGAAAGCTACAAATGGCTGTTTCAACATATAAAAACATTGCTCAATCTCACTCATGAATAAGCCTTGCCAATTAAAACAACAATGAGATCCCACTGAGGCAAAAGAAAATAACTCCAGGCCCAGAAGGCATCTTCAGCGAGTTCTTCCAAATTCTGATGGAAGAAAAAAACACGTCTTACACAAACTTTTCTGTGGAACCGGAAAGAGAAAGCATTGCCCAACTCTTTTAACGAGACAAACATAATTGTGAGAAGAAAACCCAACAAAGGTTTCATATAGGAACAGGAGAGGGCGCGTTCATTCATGCACAGAGATACAAAACTCCTAAACAAAATATAAGCAAACCAAGTTTGATATACAAAAGAGAGAATGCACTACCACCAATTTGGGTTTATTCTGTGAATGCAAGATTGGCTGAATATTAGAAAATGGGGCACGTTATCACGCTAACAGAATAAAAAAGAAAAAAAAAATCATTGACGTCGCAGTAAATGCAGAAAAACACTTGATAAAGTTTCCCGACTCTGACTCAAAATAAAAACTCTCAGGGGAAGACGACTTGACTTTGGGTGGTGGACACACAATACAATATACGGATGATGTATTATGGAATTGTACACCTGAAACCTACAAAATTTTATTAACCGATGTTAACAGCAATGTTGACTCTCAGTTCTTGAGTTTGGCAAATAAAGAATTCAGAGCCAAGAACTACGAGTTTGGCCTTTTTAGCTCCCACATATAAATCAGGTCATACGATATTCGTCTTTCTCTGTGACTTATCTTTCTTAGAATCACGTCCTCAAGGTCTAATCTTGTTTTTGCAGGTGGCAGGATTTCCTTTTTTCTCACGGCTGAGAATAATATTCTATTGTATATAAACCATATCTTCTCTATCCATTCATCATTTAACAGACATTTAAATTATTTCCATTTCTTTTCTTAATATATCTATTTTAGAGAGAGGAAGGGAGAGGAAGAGATAGAAACATCAATGATGGGAGAGTCGTCATTGATCGGCTGCCTCCTGCACTCCCGCAACCCGGGCATGTGCCAGGAATCGAACCATGATCTCCTGGATCCTAGGTCAATGCTCAACCGCTGAGCCACACCCGGCCGGGC